GGCCGCGATGAGGGAGAGCCGCAGCCGAGGCAGCTCGTCCCACCGTGCCCGTGGTTATCCCACCTCTGGGGGTTCAGGGGAAAGGACACAACCACGGGTGGGCTCCGCTTATGCAGCCCCCATCCAACCCACGGCCACGGAGCGGGTTTGCACGCTCACAGCCTTCCTGAGCAGGCTTCATAAAGTGCTTCAAAGACAAGAATCTTGACTCGCTTCCCCTCCATCTCCTCTCGTGGTTATTAACCAATTCTTTTTTTTTTTTTTTTTGCCTTCCAGAGACTCGCTCCACAAGGTATTCAACAGGGCAAAGATCTCCTCAGACTCAGCCCAGGTCAGCACCATCAGCGGAACAGTCTCCACGACAGAGAAGGCTGCAGAGATTTTCTGCCAAGAAGAAACCCCGACATGACCTAACAGCGGCTTTCTCCATCCTCAGGCTGGTTATAAAATACGACGATGGCCACTTAGAACACGCCAGGCAGAGTTAAAGTGCTCTGAGGGCTCAGAAATAACCCCCCCGAGGCTGGCGATTCACTGGCGGGCAGGACAGTCCCCACCACGTCATCCCAGTGGACAATTAACGCCCAGTCTGAGCACTGGGAGAACTGGGCAGGAAGAGCCGGCCCAGCCCGGGGGGTTTGCTGGTGGAACCGGTAACGGAACCCAACAAACCAGCCGGTGAGAGGGGAGGGGGAAGCCGGGGCCTTTCTCCAGCATCCGAGCGTTCCCCTCCATCCCTCCGTGCGAGGCTCCAGCACCGGGTACCGCTGGGTACCACTAGGTACCATGAGCATCTCCTGCATCTCCGGCCAGGTGACGAGGATGCTCCCGTGAACACCGTGCTCATTGGCTGCCAGGTCAACCAATCAGAACCACGGCTCCATGGCAACGGGCTCTGTCACTAGGAGCAATCAGCCCGTTTGGGGGTGACCAGGTCCCCCCTCCCCAGCCCAGGCTGCTGCTGCCTCAGCCAGGGAAGGAACCTCTCCCGGCTTCTCTCCCTCGCTTTGTTTATTATCAGTTGAAGAGGGGGGTTTCATCCCTCCTCACTGCCGTACAGCTCCTACGAAACCCAGGATAAAAAAAACCACCCAGACCAGGAGGGCAGATGTATATGGCTGCACCGCGCACAGGCTCCCAGTGCTTAGTCATCGCTTTAAATCTCCATCTCCACCCCCACATTGCATCAAAGAGGTGAAATTATGATGCAGAGGGAAAGCTCTGACTTCAGGTGCAAAGGGGGGAAATAACCTTTTATGAACAAGGAGACGGAAATGCAGGCAAGCTGTAAAGCCCTGAGTTAATTCTGCAGGATAGCAGGAGGTCGCCAGCACTTTGAGCGGGATGGGGGAACTCTGCTCACACCTCTTTGCAGGCATGGAAAAGGAGACGCAGAGAATTCCCGCTGCAGTCAGGAGATGCCCGCAGCTCCCCGTGCCTCCCAGAGGCGGGCGGGTTGGACGGACAGGACAGACCCTGCACAAACACCTTTGCAAGGACAGAGTTCAAGGGAGACTGAAGATGATGGGTTTAACCAGCCTGAGGTTTACAAGTGCCCCCAGCCTGATGCTTGGAGCCTGACGCTCCGACGCCGCCTGCTCTCCCCTCTCCAAGTGGACGCGATTTGTTTGGTGCTGAAAAGAACAGCATCGCTGTTTGGCTTTGTCGGTTTGCTTGTTTTTATTTTCATTTTATTTTGGGAGCCCTCTCCCCCTTTGTTTACAAAATCTGGGGGAGGAGAAAAAAAAAGACAAAACAGCTCGTAGCTAAAAAATGAAAGGATCACGGAAGCCATCAATACAGACCGTCCTCGAGAAGGACGCGCTTACGGTCACTCCAAATGATGAAGCTGAGCTGCGCATCTCCCCGTCAGAGCTCCCTTCTCCAGCTCGCACCCGTCCTCCTCTCCCCATCACGAGCTATTTCTGTATTCATCCGAAGACGGGGAACTGCGCTCCTGACGTCAAAGCAGTTTCCCCAGCAACAATGAACGAGGGCTGTCCACCACAGGGGTTTCCTGAAAACCCAGCGAGGAATTATCCACCTACTTTCGACAGTGTCGAGATGGGCAGCGTGGAACAGAACTTCTGTTTAACCCCTCCGCCGCTCCGAGAAAGCCCTGCCACAGTCCCCCCGACATGTCCTGATCCTTTCAGAGGACCCCGAGCAGAATGAACCCATCCCTAACAAATCCCACATCAGGTAGGGGACACCGTGGCCACAGAGGTGGCAGCCAGGCTCTCACCCTCCTGCTGGCACGTGCTCAGCCCCCAGCCCAGCTCCCGGCTCCTGCACCGACCCAGGCTGGCAACGCAGATCCTCAGGCGTCACTAATCAGACCCAAAGCGTTCCAGCTCCTCGCAAACCTCCTTGGGAGGAAGGCAAAAAGCTGGGCTGCTATCTGTACCCCTCTCTGTCCCCAAGGCTGCTGCTCCTCCCGGTGCCGGCAGAGGATCCCGAGCGGCCGCGGGGCTCCTGGCAAACACACGGCGCTGGGGCTGTTCTCCAGGTGGGATCCAGAAATCAATTTGATCCTTGAACGAAGGGGGGAGTGGTGATGAAAAGAAGAAAATCAACTTCATCTTTTGGCTGCCAGCAGCAGAATTTGGAGCCTGCAGAGCGGGTGAGGTGGTCCCCTGCTCCCCGCTCGCTGCAGCCGCTGCTCTTTGCAGACCCTCAAGCCACAGGTGACGCTTCCCATTTAAAGGAGCATTTTAAAGACATGAAGGGAAAGGAAACGGGTCCAACGCACCCGAACGAAGATCCTATGGTACAGTAACAGGCTAATGCCCCAAGCCCAAGACAACCAGCTCCGCGCAGGGAGCGTCACTACCGGTATCTGGGTTTTTAGGCGAGGCTGGATGATGCCCGTGGGTGAGAAGGAGGTAAAGGCAATAGAACCTCCCGACTGCACCGAAACCAAACCCAGTTCAATGACAGGTTCCAAATAATGAAAAAAATGGGGTTAATATATATGTGAGCACAAATATAGTCCTACAGAACATCAAATTGCGTAAACTAACCTGAAAACGTCATCTGGCACGTAGCCAATTAACTAGACAACATTTCTCATCAATTAGACAGCTTCAGACAAGTAAATCCTTTAAATTACAACCCAGCAGAAGAGCAGGGAGTATTCCGTCTGTGCAAAATGAACAGAAACTACCCAGGAGCGAGCTGCACAAACACCAAGCTAAGACAGAGGGAGAACCCCTGAGACTGTCACAGGGAACTCCGTCATGACACGGGAGCTATCGGGGATTCCCCTGCTCCGGTAGGTGCATCCCCAGCATCACAGCCGGAGGAAGGAGAAAGCTCATCGCACGCTCTCAAGTCTTGAACGGGATCACAAAGCCACAGATTCATTTTGGTACAGCATCATTTTCAACTAACCCCATCGAGCAGCAGAAACCCTGTCATCTGCCTGCCAGAGATGAGTGATGTCAGGTCCCCATCCCCGAAACGCTCGCCTGCATTTGTACCTCTGCTGTATTGTGCACGGTGGGGGGTGAGGAGAGGAAAAGTCTCTGGTCAATCTTTCTCAAGCCCCAAAATAATAATAGAAGACTTATTCTAAAAATAAACTCACCGTGGTGGTTTTGCACGCTCAGCAGGTCATCTGCTTCCCGATTTCAACGGAGACC